TGGAGACCGAGTTCCTTCGCTGGCTGTTGGGCACAGACTGGGGTATTCTGGTTGCGAACGGGAACGTCGGGGAGCTTGCGACAATCGGAGGAGGCAAACACTCTTCTTGTATATTGTTTCAGTAGTGGCAAGTGGTGGTAAGCTCTCGGTCCCGGCTTCGCAACAGGCTTTTCAAAATCCGTTGTTTCTGTGGCTGGCTTGAATTGATGAAGGGCCTTTAGCGAGGGTTTCTTTTTTATTTTAAGCTTTCAGTTGTACGTTTGGGGAATCCGAAGAACAACCGGAAGGCTGTTTATAGCGGCGATTCTCAGATAATTTACGATTCACAACAGTAGCGGAGTTACAGTTATGATCTAGAAACGAAATAATTTTGTGGTTGGGGGTTCCCAAAACTCGAGGAATAAAGCGTTGCAGCATTAGGAAGGTTGAAAACCACTAGTTTATAGGAAGACAGGCCTGACCTCCATAGAGGCTCCAGAACGCCCAGTTGGTGCACTTGCAAACGGGAACTTAGCGTTCGCTTGTGATGACATCTTAGGCTCTGAACTAGCTTTAGGCCAAGAAAAGGGCTCTTGATTCCAGTGCACGCCGAGTTACAGAGGAAGATGAGGCAGTTGCCTCCCTTTGAGGAATCAAAGCTGACTTGGGTCTCAAGTCAATGACCATGCAATCGGAAATTGTACTGAGACAGCTCTCCAAGAGCTTGGTAGCTTCCTCCCCTGGCTTATTTGGCCAGTCTACATCTCAACAATCTGCGGCATAGTAAAGACCATAGTGCTTGTCTAAGACACTAGGGAAGTGAGAACTTTGACAATAGACTTCTCTCATTGGAAGGTAGCTAACCCAGGAGTAGAAAGAACAGTCATAGTCCAGAAAGGTTAGTGTTCAAATGCTCACGCCTGAAGCAATTAACAAACACACTAGTATGAAGGAAAACAAAATCCGAGTACCAACCCTTTATGTTGTAGGAGTCTAGCTACCCATCGTTAAGAAATCTTTGTTTCAAATGGGAGAAGAGCTCTGAATAAACACTTAGGATGAAAGAACCTTTGGATGGTGAATGTGACAAAGCAATGGCACAACATGGGCTTCTGGACAAAATTAAAGAGGAACCTGACAATGCTCAAGTAAGCATTTTCTCTTGACTTTTAAAATATTAAAAGGTATTATTATTATTTGGGTTTTCGAGACAAGGTTCTCCGTAGCTTTGGAGGCTGTCCTGGTACTCATTCTGTAGACCAGGCCGACCTTGAACTCACAGAAATCCACCTGTCTCTCCTCCCAAGTGCTGGGAGCAAAGGCATGCGCCATCACCACCTGGATAAAAGTTGTTGTTGTTGTTGTTGTTGTTGTTATTATTATTATTATTATTATTATTATTATTGTTATTTCGAGACAGGGTTTCTCTGTGGCTTTGGAGGCTGTCCTGGCACTAGCTCTTGTAGACCAGGCTGGTCTCCCACACACAGAGGTCTGCCTGCCTCTGTCTCCCGACTGCTGGGATTAAAGGCGTGCGCCACCAACACCCAGCCAAAAGTTGTTGTTATTATTATTATTGGTCTGGAGAATTGAAAATGGTAGTCAACAGCTTCTGGTTTATAAGTTGATATAACCCAATTGATTTTTTTTTCCCATTAGATGAGTGCTGTGAAGGCTGAGGGATATTTAGTTAAGTAGTAGAGGACCTTCCTAGCACTGTAGATACTGTGTTTAATTCTCAGTGCTGGTCCAAAATGAATAGATATGTGTTATGTTTTGAATGCACCCTCCAAATTTTATTCATTGGAAACGTAATTCCTTATGCAGTGTTGCTGGAGGTGATGATCCTGTGTGCATATTCTATCATTACCAGGAGTGAGTTTGTTGTAAAAGCCAATTGAGCTCCTCTTTGCTTGCTGTCTTGTTCTTTCTTGGGCATACTCCCACCCTTTGCCACATTGTAATGTGACTAGAAGACTTGATTAAATGCATCCCTCTGTATCTTGGAATTCACAGCCTCCAGAACTGTGAGAAACTCTTTTCCTTACAAATGACCTGTTGCATGGTTTTTCTTATATTTTTGGTTTTGAGCTTTTAGCTGCTGAGCCATCTCTCCAGTGATGCATGCTTTTTCTTAAAGCAATACAAAAACCGCTAAGACAATGGGTTAATTAGGTTTTTGGTGTTTTGAATGAGAAAAGAGAAAAGGTCATAGTAAATGTGATACTTGATTTTGTTAACCAAATATAAATGTTAATGATGAGCAACACTAGTAGATGGTGTGCTGTGTACTATGTATCGTGTGATAGAATGTGGCATTAACATGATTAGTACTATCAATGCATGCTTAAGAGTGTGCCCATTACCACTCTCACATATATGATAATATTTTTACTTTACACATGAGGATGCCAGAGTTCAAAAAAGCCAAGCAGTGTGTATGGATCAGTTAGTAAACATTAGATAGGATTCAAACCCAGATAGTAAGATTTCAGAGAACCTGCCGCTCCATATGTAACTTGAGTGGATTATGCAGAATAGAACCTTGTTATGAATTTTGATTTTTATTTTAAGAGCAACAGGAGACATAGGGTTAGTTTTTGTTTTATTTATTTTTTGAGACGGTCTCATCTAATTCAGGCTGTCTTCTGATTTGCTGTGGAGCTGAGGATGATCTTTAACTTCTGGTCCTCTTGCCTCTGGTTCTTGTCTCTCTCTCTCTCTCTCTCTCTCTCTCCATGCCAGTTTTCATTGTAGAGACAGTAACAGGAAACAGATTTGCATTTGGATCATTGTGGCCCTTAAAGACAGCTTAGAAACAAATGTAATTTATGGAGAGTGAGTTATTTTGCCAAGAAATTGTTTTTTACCTTCTTTAGCATGTTTTTTTAATGCTCTTTAGTTACTGACCTTATTGTAGAAACAAAGCAATAGTAATTAAACTTAATGAAAATTAATAAATTAAAAGTAAACTTAATGAAAATTAATAAATAATAAGTAAGATTTATCTGGTGTGTGTGTGTGTGTGTGTGTGTGTGTGTGTGTGTGTGTGTGTGTGTGGTGGCGGCTCACAACTTTAATCCCAGCACTTGGGAGGCAGAGGTCAGTAGATCTCTGTGAGTTTGAAGCCAGCCTAGTCTACAAAGTGAGTTCCAGGACAGCCAGGACTGTTACACAGAGAAACCCTGTCTGGAGAAACTAAAAACCAACCAACCAAAAAAAAGTAAGACTTCTCACACACCTCACAGCAGGATGGTTCCAGCACAGGAGTGCCAGATAGTTTTTTGCCTTGCTCATGAATTGCACGCCTTCTTTGCTTTAGTAGTGAGCTGTTAAGGTTCAAAGGTGGTGTTTGCAGAGTGCTGAGTGAGTGGTGGAGGCCTCCAGTGAACCTCCTTCTCTTTTCAGTATACTTACTTTCCCTTTAGTTGGGAAATTGTTCCTCTTGCCTTTCCCAGTGTAACCATTTGTTTGCCAAGTTTTGTGGATTCTGCTTTTTAAATATATTTTCAGTCTCTTTGATTTCCCCATTTCATTATTTTTCATGTGAACTTGTTTGCTTTTTTTCCTTCTTTTACTCATGTAGTTCAGCTGTCTTATTCCTTACAGATCTAACACTCCCCCCCCCCCATGCCTCCAGTGCTGGGGCTTGAACCCTGGCCCTTGCACTTGCTAGGCAGGTACTCTACCATCTTTGGCCAGGTTCCTTCTATATGGTAAATCCTAAACATTTGAATGTGATGTCAGACTATTCATGTTGAGTTTTTGTTTCCCTTTTGAGTGCCATCAATTATCTTTCCACTTCTAATCTGTGCTCCTGTAAACCATTTGCAGTTCACCAAAAGATGAAAATTAAGTTTTACATGTTTGCTTTAGGTAATCCAAATTAGTTTTGAACTCACTAGGAATTGAGGACATCTTTGATCCTCCTTCCTCTACTTCCCAAGTGCTGGGATTAAAGGTACTGCCACCATACCCAGCTATAATAGATATATTTTGTTCAGTGTTTTTTGCCTTTTTTTTTTTTTTTTTTTTTTTTTTTTGAGACAGGGTTTCTCTGTGTAGCTTTGTAGACCAGGCTGGCCTTGAACTCACAGAGATCCACCTACTTCTGCCTCTTGAGTGCTGGGCCTTTGCCTTTAGAGTTTAGAGAGAGCGAGAGAGCGAGAGAGAGAGAGAGAGAGAGAGAGAGAGAGAGAGAGAGAGAGAGTGTGTGTGTGTGTGTGTGTGTGTGTGTGTTTGTGTGTATGTACCACATGAGTTTGAGTGTCCTTGGAAAGAAGAGGGTATCAGATCTCTGACTAGAGTTTCAGGTGGTTGTGAGCTGACTAACATGGGTCCTGGAGCTGAACTTGGGTCGTCTGGAAGAGCAGGCAAGGTACTGGAAAATTAGCCTAGAGCTTCACATTCTGATCCCCAGGCAGCAGGTAGTTCTTGATAGTACTGAATTGGTTACTGCTTGCTTCCTGGTAAGTGTGTGGTGTTGTGTTATTTCCTGGTGGGTAAATGGAAGGGCAAATAAATAAGGAACAAACAAAATAGAAGGGAAAGCCCCCCTCTCAGTGACTAGTCCAGTACTATAAACCAGTCCGTCTTAATAAGTAATTGCCTTCAAGGAGTCCCACTGCTTCTCAAGACTGTTAAATTGGGAGTCAAATTTCTTTCTATTTTTCCTTTTAATAACCCTGCAGTCTAAAGTGGTGACCTGCCTCTATGACACACTGATGCAATGCACAAAAAGTTGTACGGGTAACCAACCATTATCTGGTTGTATTTAAGGTCCAATCCATGAGCTGAAACTCATACCTGCTATTGCTGGGGTGGCCAAGAATCTAAGACTAGATAGGCCATGGACCTTGGGGGAAAACAATACTACAATACTCTACTAAAGGAATGCAGCAATAGAATGACTCATAAAACACTCCACTATACTCATAGATCAGTGTCTTCTCACCTTCTTAGTTGTCGTCAGAGAAGCTTCCTCCTACAGTAGATGGGAACAAATACAGAGAACTCAAAACTGGACAGTGTGCAGAGAATATGAGACCTTGGAACACTCAGTCCTAAATGAGATGTTTCCATTAAATCCCTCCCTTCAGGACTCAGGGAACTTTGCAGAAGAGGAGGCAGGAAGATTGTTAGAGCCAATGGGGATGGAAGACAACAAGGAAACAAGGTCTTTAGGCCCAGCAGGACTGATGCACATTTGAACTCACAGAGACTGCACAGGTCTAAGCCAGTTGGGGGTCCCAGTGCTGAAAGGGGAAGTGGATACAAGACCCCCCATCCCTAACCCAGAAGCTATTGCTAATTAAAAACTGCTCACAGAGGAAAAATTAGTTTTATCCAACAGAGCCTGACTGGGTAGATGAACATTGTAGCAGGCTTTCCCTGGACTGCCAACCAGCTCCCAAATCATGACATGCAGACTTATTATTAATTATTAATGCTCGGCCTTATCTTATGCTTGTCCCATTAGCTGTTATAACTTATTTTAACCTGTTTCTCTTCATCTATGTCTTGCCTTGGGGCCTTTTATGTTTCTTTTATTCTGTGTCTTACTTTACAGCTTCCTCCGTGCCTGGCTGGTTAGCAGCTGCCTGGCTGGCTGGCCCTGGGTATCTCCCTCTTTTTCTCCCTTATTCTCTTCTCTCTTGAGCCTGGATTCCTCCTCCTACTAATTTTCTCTGCCTGACAGCCCCACCTATCCCTTTACTGCCTGGCTATTGGCCATTCAGGTTTTTTTTTTTTTTTTTAATTAGACCAGACAGGTGCCTTAGTCGGACAAGGTGGAACAAATGTAACGCATCTTTACCTAGGTAAAGTAATATTACATAACAAACCACACCAAAGGGCAGGCCCCATGCTTAGCAGTAGATGGTCAACGTAAATGAACTCAATGGTATACAGAGGTCTTTCATCACCTTTTCTGGACTTTCTGTTGTTGTGTTTGTTTGTTTGTTTTGAGACAGGGTTTCGGCTGTCCTAAAACTCTGTAGACCAGATTGGTCTCAAATTTACAGAGATCCGCCTGTTTCTGCCTCCAGAGTGCTGGGATTAACTGTGTGTGCCACCATGCCCAGCTGATTTTGTGTTCTTAAGGGATTCCTGTGTGTGGAAATATGTCTCTGTGTTTGTGTTCCTTGTACGCTTTGTTTGTTTTTTTTTTTCTGTTTTGTCCTTTTTTATTTGTGTGTTTCTCTTTTTAATTGCTTCTTTGTTTTCTAGTGAAAGGAGAAAGGGTGTAGTTTTGGGTGGGGGAGAGATGGGGGAAGATCTGGAAGGAGTTGGGGGAGGGGAACTGTGATCAGAATATATTATGTGAAAAAAATCTCTTAATCTCAACACTTGGGAGGCAGAGGCAGGGGGGTCTTTGTGAGTTTGAAGCCAGCCTGGTCTACAGAGCGAGTTCCAGGACAGGTTCCAAAGCAATACAGAGAAACCCTGTCTCGAAAAACAAAAACAAAAAACAAACAAACAAAAAAACCCAAAATATGTTTCTAAATTGAAATAGAATTATATCACTGTTCTTTCTCCCTTTCTTCTTTTTAGCTCTCTCTAGGCAGCCTCTTCAAACCCTGCTGTATCACCCTCCAAGTTGATAGCCTCTTTTTCTTTATTGTAGTTAGTATATGTACATTTGTGTATGCACCAATATATAAATACAACTTCCTGAGTCCTGTTTTGTTGTTTGTGTATATATAGTTCCCGGGCTGACCACTTTGCTTTGGACAGCCAATAAGGGGGCTCATTCCTGGGAGAGACTAATTCTCTGTCTCCCAGCAGTTGTTAATTGCATGCAGTTCCTTGTGTTGGGGTTAGATTGTGAGATTTTCACTTTTCTATGTAAACATATCAGTTGGTCACACAGTTAGGAATCAAATTTCAGCATGAGTTTCAGAGGGGACAGATCATAGTACTATCTAAGTCCAGCCCAGGCTGGCCTGGAGTTCACTAGGTAGCTGGGGCTGTCTTTGAACTCCTGACAAGCCATCTACCTCTGTCTTTGTTGTACTGGTATGAGAGACCTTGCCTTGCTAACATCTCAGATTGAATCCAGGACTTTGCGTATCTAGATATATGGTTGAGCTACATCCCCAGCGAATAGTAGAAACTTATTCTCATAGCTTTGGAAGCTGGAAGATCAGTGTTCCAGCGTGGTGGGTTCAGTAAGAACTCTCAGGATATGGACCTCATGTAGCTCTGGTTCATGGGAAGAGAGCTAGTTGTCTTTTGGCCTTTACTTATAAAGGGCACAGTTATGGTTTAAATGTGAAATGTCCCCTAATTAGTTTCCTTGTGTGCATTTCTTACAATAAACATGTTGGTTGCAAGTTTGAAAAGTTGAGCATGCACTGTAATCCCGGTTCTGGGGAGATAGGAGTATTCCTAGAGCCAGCTGGGTTAGTCGAGGCAATTGTGAACTCTGACTTTAATGAGTGCAAGGCCCTATCTTAATCAGTAAGGTGTAGAGTTGCTGAGGAACACATCTGACATTGAAATCTAGTATCTATGTGCATATGCAAATATTTATCCACAGATGTGCACATACACAAACATACACAAACAAGTAGTATTCAAGATTGGAATGGCATAACTGCAAATGTTTTCTAATTTTGAAAGGTGATCTTTGTAAAGATTGTATCTAGTCTAATAATTCTTGTTTTTGAGATATTTATGAAGGAGACTATGATTAGAATGTATAAAAGATAAATGTGACAGAATAAGATTTTTTTAAAAGATTTTATTTTTCTATTTATTATGTATATAACATTCTGCTTCCAGAAGAGGGCACCAGATCTCATAATGGATGGTTGTGAGCCACTATGTGGTTGCTGGGAATTGAACTCAGGACCTCTGGAAGAACAGCCAGAACAGCCAGTGCTTTTAACCTCTGAGCCATCTCTC